ATTGAATAAGTATGGTGAAAGAATTGAACCTTGGCACACACCTTACCTGATCTTAAACCATTCAGTATCCCCTTGTTCTGTTTGAACAATTTTTTTTTTGGTCTATGTATAGGTTCATGAGCACAATTAAGTGTTCTGGAATATCCATTTTTCTCAATGCTGTCCATAGTTTGTTATGATTTCCACAGCTGAATACCTTTGCATAGTCAATAAAGCATAAGTAAACATCTTTCTGGTATTCACTGCTCTCAGCCAAGATCCATCTAATGTTAGCAGAAATATCCCTCATGCCATGGCCTCTTCTTATTCTGGCTTGAATTTTTGGCAATGCCCTGTTGATGTATTGCTGCAATCATTTTTAAATTACCTCCAGCAAAATTTTACTTAAATGTGATAGTAATGATATTGTCCAATGATTTCCACATCTTGGTGGGACACCTTTCTTTGGAATGCATACACATATGGATCTCTTCCAATCAGTTGGGCAGGTCTTTAAAATTTTTTGGAATACCTCCAATGCTGCATCAGTTTGTTAAAAGATTTCAATTTGTATTCCATCAGTTCCTGGAGCCTTGTTTTTCACCAATGCCTTCAGTACCTCTTCTCTCAATAGCATTGATCCTTAATCATATGGTACCTCTTGAAATGGTTGAACACTGGCCAATTCTTTTTGCAGACTGTGACTTTATGTATTCATTCCATCTTCTTTTGATACTTCTTAGATCATTCAATGTTCAGCCCACAGCATCTTTCAATATTACAACCCAAGCCTTGACTTTTTTCTTCAGTTCTTTCAGCTTGATAAATACTGAATGCATTCAGTATTTTTGGTTTCTAACTCCAGATCTCTGCACATTTCAATACTTGTCTTCTCGAGCTGCCCTTTGAAATGTTCTGTTCAGTTGTTTTACTTCATGTCTGCCAATTGCTTTAGGTTCTCTATATGTTCAAGAGCAAGTTTCAGAGTCTCTTCTGATGTCCACTTTGGTTTTTTCTTTATTTCCTGTATTTTTAATGACCTTTTGCGTTCTTTTGGTGTGATATTCTTGACATCATCCCACAACTCCTCTGGTCTTTGATCATTAGTGTCTAATGTATCAAATCTGTTCTTCAGATGATCTGTAAATTCAGATGGGATACACTTAAGGTCATATTTTATTTTGTATTTATATTGTATTTTGGCTCTTGTGGACTTTTTAAATTTTTCTTCAGCTTCAGCCTGAACTTGCAAATGAGTAATTGATGGTTTGTTCCACAAGACTGTTTTGGCTGATGTTATTGAGCTTCTTTATTGTCTCTTACCACCGATGTTGTTGTTATTGTTAAGTGCTATCAAATAGGTTTTGACCCATAGTGACCCTGTATAGGGTTTCCAAGGAGTGGCTGGTGAGTTTGAACTAAACCTACCTTGTGGTAGAGTGCTTATCCTACAGTGTGTAGTCCATCTGGTGAGGTCCATGTATATAGTTATCTTTTGTGTTGTTGAACAAAGGTATTTGCAAAGAATAAATCACTGATCTTGCATAATTCTATCATGCCATCTCCATTATAATTTCTATCACCAAGCCCATATTTTCCAACTAAGGATCATTTCTCTTTGTTTGCAACCACCAGTATTTATCAGTGCATCTTTATTGCATGTTTGATTAATTTCAGATTGAAGAATTTGGTAGAATTTTTCTACTTCATCACTGGCTTTAGTGGTTAGTGTGTAAATTTGAATAATAGTGGTATTAACTAGTTTTCCTTGTAGGCAAAAGGATATTATCCTTTCACTGGCAACATTGTACTTTAAGACAGATCTTGAAATGCTCTTTTTGATGAAAAATGTGATGCCATTTCTCTTCAATTTGTCATTCCCAGCATTGAAAACTATATGATTGTCAGAATCAAATGGCTAATACCAGTACATTTCAGTTGACTAATGACTAGATATTGATCTTTATGTGTTCCATTTCATTTTTGGCAGCTTCCAATTTTTCTAGATTCATGTTCTGATTATTAATGGATGTTTGCAGCGGTTTCATCTCCTTTTAAATTGTGCCCCACCAGGAAGTAAGGGTCCAGAAAGCTTTGCTCCATCCAAGTCATTATGGTCAACTCCACTTTGAGGAGGCAGTTCTTCCCCAACTGTATTTTGAGTACCTTCTAATGTGAGGGGCTCATCTTCTGTCAGTACATCTGACAATATCCTGCTGCTATTCATAAGATTTTCAGTGGCTAACTATTCAGAAGTGGTCTGCCTTCCTTCTTCCTAGTCTGTCTTAGTCTGGAAGCTCAGCTGAAACCCGTAGACCTTGGGTTACCCTGATAGTATTTAAAATACCAGTGACACAGCTTTCAGTATCACAGCAGCACAAAAACCACCATAGTATGACAGACTGCAGATGAGCTGCTAAGGAGGTGCATTTGTTAATGTAGGAGGCTAGGATGTATTTTATTCAAGTTTGTAAGCTTGATTTATAACTTTTAAATATTTGTTGTTTGTTGTTAAGTGCCATTGAGGCAAGTCCGACTCATAGTAACCTTGTATAGGGTTTCCAAGGAGAAACTGGTGAGTTTGAACCACCGACCTTGCAGTTCAAATGACTTTGCAATCTGATGCATTAGCCCACAAAGCCACACCAGGACTCCTTTAATATTTAGACATATGACATGTAGACTTCCATTTGCACTCTTGCTGGAGTTCCTCAAATGTTAAGAGTCAAGAGTTGGCAAGTTATAAAGGTCATCCTGTGTGGATTGTGGATTATATGAGCTTCCTTCCCCCTTCTTAACATACATGCTTTTTTTTTTTTTTTTTGGTAATTTCTTGTTTCACTTTTTGTCTTTTCTGATAGATGTGAATGAAACTGTGAGGAGGCAGAAACCAGGCTACCTTGTTTACAAATGCTAATAAAAATGGATAACACATAGAAAGTGCTTACTAAGTGTGGAAGACTTTAAAAATGAATCATGAAAGATGTTTGTGTTTGATGACAGCAGATAGGATAAGGAGAGGTGATGTTGTTAAGTGCCATCAAGTTATTTCTGACTCATAGTAACCCTGTATAGAGTTTCTGAGGAGTGGCTGGTAGACTTGAACCATTGTCATTGAGCTTAGCAGTCCAGTGCTTATCCTACAGTACTACACCAGGACTCCAAGGAGAGGTGATAAAAGAGGATAAATTGAACTGAAATGAGAATACCTTGCTAAATAATAATTGAGATTGAGCATACTCCAAGCCTCTTTTCCTCTCTTCTCCTTGAATTAACAAATGGCAAACGTGCAACTTCTAGCTCAGTAAGAATCAGCGTTGAAGCAATCTATTCTAAGTCTTAGATTTTTGTTTGTTTTTTCCCTTCAAATGAGCAAAGGAATATTGGGCTAAAATCAGGTGTTGCATGCAAACTAAGGACCTGACATTCAAAAGTGTAGGGATAGGGATCACTGAAGAGTATTAAAAATGTGAGTCATCACAAGTAAATGAAGGGGAAAAAAGTCACTTTTTGGTTTCCCTTGAAAATTGGAACTCTCGAAACATTGGGCCACTTTGTAACATGGCCAACAGTGGTCTGGAGCCTTTAAAGGGCCTGTGTTTATCAGTTCCACTTTGTTCTGTACCTGGCCACAGAAGACCTCTGAGTTCCTGACCCTTGCGCCTTGGCCTCTTTAAGTCTCCTTTATTTAAAAAGATTATCGTCATCCATTACTCTCTTCATGGTTACAGTTCTACCAACCTTTGAATGATTCGGTTCAGCTGAACTACGTGCACTATATAAAATAAAATGATAGCTTGTATCAGATAGGTCGATCCTGAAACGGAATTATTTCATACACAAATGAAACCCACCATCCCCAAAAAGCAGCTAACAATCAGTGTTCTTGATACAAATTTCCCATGATCATCTTTTTGTGATGACCGTGAGGGCAAATACTAAAATAGAGTCGGTAACCACAGCTTGATGGGTGTCTGAAGACTGAGATTGTGTGTTGTGCTAGTGGAAAGACGTGTTGGGGACACAGATGTACAAAAACTACTGCAGAGAGATTGCAGAACCAGCCTTGGGAGGATAATGAAACTGCGAGATGCGAAAGCACTCTATTTTGTTTAACAAGTATTTACTGAGTACCTTTGACGTCTGACGTGAGGGATTCAGCATTAAACCAATCAAAGCCCCCTCCATTCACCGAGTTTAAATCCTAGCCCAGGAAGTCAGCTAACACACCACGTATAATATGCAGATTTATGCGTGTGCTATGTGGAAATAAATGTTTATAAAACCAAAGCCGAGCAGGGGAACAGCGAATGAAGGTGGTTGCTATTTGAGAAGAACCCAAAAAGGAGTGAGCAAAGAACCCACCAAGGTTCTTTTCTAATTTTCTAGGCTAAAGGGAGCGAGAAGTTCCTCCCAGGAAGCCCCGCCCTTTTCCTTCTCTATAGGGCATAAGGAGCGTCTCTAAGGAAGCCCCTCCCTCTGACACGCCCAGAGGCGGTATTAGTGGCGGAGCTTCACACTCGGTCCCATGGCGTGCGAAGCTGACAGCCAGGCGCGCAAGGATCCCGGCATTCTCTTTTTTCCCTCACGTGCCTGGAGAATTAGTCTAAGCCGGAACCTGGCATGATGGGATCTGTAGTTTCTGCCAGCATGATGGGAACGGGGCGGAGCGGGAAGGAAGGGTTGCGGTTGGTAAAAGTCTTTAAGCCGGCTCCATTTCTGGCACATTTGTAGCCCCGAGGGGTTATGGGGAGGCCTTCCCGGAGCGGGGCGGGGGCGAGGGGGAGGCATCCTAAGAACTAGTTGAGCGAACGTCCAGGCCAGTTGCCGCCCCCAATCACGTGTTCCCAGCATGCGCGAGCGCGCGCCGCTCCTCAGCGCCGTTCCCGCCACGCCCCGCCCGGCAGTCAGCCTGAACCTCCCCCGGCGCTGCTGCCACCTCGCGCTCGGAGGCGTCACGGAACGTGCTTGTCTTTCCCCCTCCTCCTCCCCCTCCTTTCCCTTCCACCCCCCATCCCCCGCGCGCCTAGACTCGCCGCCGTCGCAGCCGCAGGAGTATCCTCCGCTGGAGCCGCGCGCAGCCATGGCTGAGAACCCCGGCTTGGAGAACCACCGCATCAAGAGCTTCAAGAACAAGGGCCGCGATGTGGAAGTGAGTGTGCTTCAGCGGTCTGGGTCCGCCGGCTTACCCGTCCAGCCACGCCGGTCAGGCGGTGGCGGTGGCGGTGGCGGCGGGAGGGGCGGGGGGCCGACGCCGGGCTGGTTCTCTCTGGCCGCGGTAGCTCGGAGTTGGCAGCCGCCTCCCGTCACCGTGGCCCTTGACTGGACAGAGCGGGCGGCGGGACGAGGGCCAGGCTGCAACCGCCCTCCGGAGCTGCCGGCACAGGCCACGGGAAATGCCGGGGATTTCGGCCCCGTCACGCGGGCGCGGCCTGATGTCGGCGAGGAAGGGATGTGGAGCTGAGGCGGGGTCCGCGGGCCGGGGTTGCGCGGACCAGGATGCTGCCGCCGGGTCCGGGACTCGCGCAGCCGAGGGAGCGGCCGCGGCGCGTGCTCGCTACCGGTCGCCTCCGCCCGGAGCAGCCCCCTCTGTACCTTCCGCGCCGCTGCACATGGAGCCCCGGCTTTGCGGGTCCCCTCGCCTACCATCTCGCGCCGGGCCCAGGCTGGCGGTAGCTGCCCGCAGAGGGGGGTGGGGACCAGCCGGGTAACTGACTTGTTTAAGGGTGGTGGGTGGGGGAGGGTAGGATGTACCAAGACCATTTTCTTGTATTTCTGTGCTGTCCTTTTGGACCGGTCGTGCTGAGCGATTCCAGCTTCTACTCCAGTTCTGCTGGCATTTTGAGCAAGCAGAAGGTGGACAATAGTTTACCATCTATTGTGTTGAGTGAGGCTTTGGAAGAGAGGTTGTTCTGACCTTCGCTTTATAGGACCTGTTTTCTTACCCTTTCTTGCAGTGGATGTGCATCGAGTGATCATTGCTTTGATGTTTTGCTGAAATCAATTGAACACACAGCTAATTCGTCCTTATATATATTTTTTGCTCCAAGCTGGTAGGATTTCCAAGAGGTTGCAAAACTGTAAACATTCTTCGTGGTCAGTCACTCAGTTCGTTGCTACTCAGCACGTTGCCATTGTTTCATTAAGGTGACATTAGCAGGTACACTCTTTGCAAACTGGGCTTATCCAGGCAGCGCTAGAGGTCTCTCTGCAGCTACTAATAGCAATGAAGTATAATGCACAAACTTCACTGGGACTCTGACCTCTGGATTAGTTAGGGGGAAATGGTTTTAAGTCCACAGCCTCTTTTTCTAATTCTAGGTGACATGAATCGCAGTTTTGTAATTGCTGCCAAGGGGCCAGTGTGATTAAGAAGTGGCATTTTGTCCTGTCTTAGAGAGGGAAGATTGGGTGTATACTATTCATTGTTCCTCCACAATAGGTTTTAAGAAGGAACAGACAAAACTAAAGCCATTTTTCAGAACTAGTTTAATACTGTCTGGACGAAAGCCTAGGGAAATATCTGTGGAATTCCCACTTGAATGAGACAAATAAAGGTCATCTGTCTTGGTCGTGGTTAAAATTTCCTTTGTAAAAAAATACTCCTAAGCAAAAGTGTCTGTTTAGAAGTAGATACAGGAGGTTTTAGGACTACCTTCTGCGATTGGCCCACTGAATAAAAGTTAATTTTTAACTTTTTTCCATCAGTAGTTTTGCTTGAAGTTATCACTACTATAAAAGAAAACTTAGAAGTTTTGAGAAAAAACCCATGTTGTTTGCACAGAACTAATAACATTCTTTCTTGCTTTTCTTTGCTATTGGTACAGTCTTCTTATCTATGTTCCCAGAGCTTAAGGAACTTAGCAAGGACTCCTGCAAATAATAGGTATTCATCAAATATTTGCTGATGATCAGAAGGTGACCAGTGACTTTTATCATGCCTAAAAAAGACAAAAAATATTGTTAACAACAATATCGCACTCCTCACAATATATCAGAATACCTAAGACATGAAACGGTGTATATTCAAATGGTATGGTAGTTCTATATAGTGGCATACACTATATTAAGAACTTCATAATACCTCATTTAATTTATGAGCTAGGTGTAGCATTAACCCCACTACCTGAGGTAAAAACTGAGAGTGGTTATGCAGCCTACCCAAGGTCACCTAGTTGATATGAGTTTTCTCTAGCTTTCTATTGGGAGTCTTAACTATGTGCCCAGCCAACACAATAGGTTTTGGGGATACCAAATGGAATAAAATTTTGAATTTGTACCTTCAAGGAATTTACAAGCTACAATGCAGTATCTCAGTGCTATGATATAGGTATGCTGAGAATGCATGAGAAGACCTAACTTGGAGCCTGAGGGTCAGAGATGTTCCAGTTGATTCATAATAGAAGAACGTGAGTGAGACTATCTTGAAGGACAAGAGAAAGTTGCCCAGGCAGAGGTCTGGAGGAGAAAGAGGGGGAAGTAAGGGGCATTCCATAATGATGGTACAATAATTGAGAAGAGTCTTGAGAGAAAGTAGTAGGACTGGTAAGGTTTTGAGAAAAAGGGGAGTGCTAGGGACCTGTTATGAGTCCTGGTGTGGTGCTATAGGATAAACCACTGGACCATAAGATCAGTTTAAACCACCAGCTGCTTCTTGGAAACCCTTATACAACAGGGGTGGGGAACCTTTTTATTGTAAAACTTTATAATTTCATTGGTGAGGTGGACCATAAAAAATTATTAACTTAAAAATTAATCTTTTATTTTATCAAACATTTAATTAACTCACCCCTGATGTGATGGCTAGAGTCCTGGTATGGTGCTGTGGGTTAATGCACTGGACTGTAAAGTCGGTTTGATACACAAGGTTGGAAGTTCAAGTTCACCAGCTACTCCTTGAAACCCTACACAGGGTCACTATGGATTGGAACTGACTTGATGGCACTTAACAACAGCAAATGTGATTGTTGAAACTCTTGGTATGCTGTTGTAGGATCATACTGGATTGCGAACCACCAGTTGTTGCTCCTCAGAAACCGTATACAAGGTTGCTATGAGTCAGAACCAACTTGACAGCACTTAACAACCGCAGTGTAATGACTGAAACTTTCTGGTTGCCTTGGTAGGAACTTATACAGCCTCCAGGCTGGACTTTCCCACCCCTGCTATGCAAGGTCACTGTGAGTTGGAACCCACTTGACAGCACTTAACAACAGCAGCAGAGATAGGATGAATGGGTAAACTGGGGTCCAGTCTGTTCAAATGGTTTCATTGTAGAGTTGACCACGTATCTAGTCTTACCCATTTGAACCTTATACTACAACTTAGCTTGGTGACTAAGTAGTTGTGATTATTAGCTTGCTTCAGAACACTTTGATGACCTATCATTTCTACTGACTCATCAACTAGATGGGTAAAAGATCAAATATAAATTATACAACAAGCTGATACACAAAAAAGATGCTTGGTGCAAGAATAAAGAATTTTCTTGAAAATGTAGACTTGTGTCCGGAAGTTGTGGGGAGGAATAAGGTGGAGGAGGAAAATCATTTCAGTCAAAAGTGGCATAATAGAAGAAAACTTCCAAGAGGTCCTTGGAGAGAAAAAAGGATGTTGAATTTTTCAGAAAGTAGGAATTTATACCAAACTTGAAAGTATGAGACATTTAAAGATCCAGGTAAAAAGAAGATAAATTAGATGGAGGTAGGGAGGTTGTCAAAGACTTCATTTTGCTCAGATCAACCATCAACACTCATGGAAGCACCAGTCAAGAAATAAATTTGCCTGTTGCATTAGGCAAATCTGTTGCACATGACCTCTAAAGTGTTCAAGAGCAAAGATGTCAGTTTGAGGACTAAGGTGTACCTGACCCAAGCCATGGTATTTTCAATAATGTTATAAGCATATGAAAGTTGGACAGTAAACAAAGAAGACTGTAGAAGAATTGATGCAAATACCATGGACTTCCAAAAAAACAAACAAATCTGTGTTGGAAAAAGTACAGCCAGGATGGTGAGATTTCGTCTCTCATATTTTGGTCGTATTAGGAGGGACCAGTCTGGAAAAGGACATCATGTTTGGTAAAGTGGAGGGTTGTGGAGAAAAAGAGGAAAGAACCTCTAATGAGATAGATGGATTGGCATAGTAGCAGCAGCAGTGGATTCAAGCATAGCAACGATTGTGAAGTTGGCACATGACCAGGCAGTGTTTCATTCTGTTGTGCTGTAAGGATTGCTATAAGTAGGTACTTACTCAGTGGCACCTAACAAGGGAAGGAAGCAAGTATCACTGACAGCAACTTGGAGGTTTAGTGTTGCTTAAGTGCGGTCAAGTTGGTCCAGACTTATAGTGACCCTGTATAGTGTTTCCAAGAGTGATAGGTTTGAACCACCAACCTTGGGTTTATAGTCCAGTGCTCATCCTAGAAAGAGGAGAGATGAGACTTGCAAATAGCCTGTGGTGATCTTAGAATATGACCTGTGACGAATTATTGGTTGGAAGCTATTTCTTGATAGATCTGAAAGTACTTATTTCAGAGCAAAGAGTTAGGAGGTGTATAACATGATGAGAGCAGTGGAAAGGGTGACTGGCAGTAATATCTTGGATTAGTTTGAAGGAGTAGTGTTATGATCTGGTCTGCAAGGAGGAATTTTCTAAAAACTGGAGATGGCTATAACCTGGAATGTATGTGTGTGTGTGCGTGTGTGTATTCAGTGCCGTTTAGTCTGTTGGAATTTAGTGAGTCTGTATAGAGTTTCTGAGCAGTGACTGGTGGTTTTGAACTACCAGCTTTGAGGTTAGCAGTCCAGTGCTTATCCTGCAGTATCACAGAACTCCACAACCTGGGATAAGGGTTGAGATTATCTTTTTTCTTCTTTTTCATTACTTTGAGTGTGTTTAAAAAGAAGCTCACAGAAAAAGGGATAAAGGTTTCCCTAAAGTTTTTAGATGGAGGTAGAGGAGGGAGTAATTATCACTGAAAGCAATTTGGAGCTTGGATAAGGGAATGGATATACCAAATCTTTTCGTATTTAAGGCATTGATTCTTAACCTTTTTTCCTTAAAAAAAAAAAATAAATAAATAAAATCTTCAAGTATACTTACAGAAAAGTTTTGTTTAGTGAATACTTAAAAAGCAAACACCTGTCACTC